TCTGTGGCAAAGAATTTCACAGATTCACTACCCTCTGAAAGAAATAATGTGGAGGTGTCGGTGTTGGATTGGGGTGGACAAGATCAGAAGTCACACGAAACCAGGTTATAGTCCAATAGGTTCATTTGAAATCACAAGCTTTCTGAGCGTTGCTCCTTCGTCAGGTGAAGTGAAGAAAAACACACAGTTACAGAATTTATAGCCGGAGAGATCAATAGGCAGAGAGATCAAAAAATCATACAGATAGTTTGAGTGGAATGTTGATAGGCTGAATAATAAATCTCTGTGGGTGATCAAGCGTCAGATGGTGTGAGTAAAGTGTCAACAGCTGAATAGCAAGTGAAGGGATGACCTATAATCCAATTAATTGAGACAGAGTGATAATTACAAAAAAAATTAAAAATAAGGTGGTGCTGAAGACAAACCAAATCACTAGAATAACTCCGTTTGATCTCTCTGCCTATTGATCTCTCTGTCTAAATTCCGTGCCTGTGTGTTTTTCTTCACTTCACATGACAAAGTAGCAGCGCTCCAAAAGCTTGTGATTTCATATGAACCTGTTGGACTATAACTTGGTGTTGTGTGACTTCTGACTCTGAAAGAAATGCATTTCCCTCATCTCTGTCTTAAACTGGTGACCTGTTATTCTGAGATTATGCCCTCAAGTCCTAGACTCTCCCACAAGGGGAAAACTCTCTGCATCTACCCTGCCAAGACCACTTAGAAATTTTTATGTTTCAATAAGGTCACCTCTCATTCTTTTAAACATCAATGTGTACAAGCCTGATGTACTCAACAACTCTTCATAAGAAAATTGGCCTAGCAAGCCACTCAATTCAAAGGCAACCAGGGATGGGCAATAAATACTGCCCCCAGCGATTCCCATGTCCCATGCATGAATAAAAAAAATCTCTCCATTCCTGGTATAAGCCTTGCGAACCTTCTCTGGATGGCTTCCAATGTCAATATATCTTTCCTTAGATAAAGGGACTAAAGATGTTCACAATATTCCAGCTACGTCTGACCAGTGCCTTGCGTTGTTTCAGCGAATCTCCCCTACTTTTATATTCCATTTCCTTTGAAATACATGCCAACAGTCCATTTTCCTTCTCTATTACTTGTTGAACTTAGATGCTACCTTTCTGTGATTCATGCACAAGGACCTCCCCAAATCACTCAGTGCTTCAGCTTTCTAAAAGGATTTATCCATTTGAAATCTATTCAGCTTCTCTAATCTTCCCATCAAATTTTATAAGCTTATATTTTTCCACATTATATTGCACATACCAGTTTTTTTGTCCCATTCACTTAGCCTGACTATATCCCTCTGTTGACTGTATGTGTCATTCTCACTATTTACCTTCCCTTCTATTTTTGTGTCATCTGCAAACCTGGTGGTTGTACATTCACTTCAGTAGTTAATATATATTGTAATAATTGTAATCCCAGCACTAATCCCCATGGCACCTCATGTTACAGCACTACTTCCAGTATTATGTGTTTTCCTGGTCTGCATGTCATTTGGGAAAAGGTTAATGTTGAGGAATGGGAATTGGGAATCTTCAGTGTCAATTTGCTCCTATTGAGAAATATTAAAAACTTAATCTTAAGAAAAATCCAGCAATCAATATGGATAGTTGTTTTCTTCGTCTTCTATTGAACAAGTTAGCACTGAGCGTTGGTGTGGAGGATTTCTCACAGTTGACTAAGATGATATTACCTTCATCTTAGCTTGATTTCATGGCTGATAGGTCGCCTGATTTTCCTCATATGAATGAGTTCCATTGTGATTACTGAATCTGCTAGATCACTACAGAGTGCACTTAGAGTCAATCACCAAGAATTAGCCTGGAGTCACATGTAGGCCTGATTGGTCAGGTTGTCAGACCTCTTTTCTTGCATTAATGAACCAATTAGATTTTTTACAACAAGATGAAGTCCAGAGCTTTTCATGTTCATGACTTCAAAGTTTGATGAAATTAAAAAAATTTAAGAACCTTCAGTTTTCTGAACAAAGCCATCGACAATCAAAGCGTATTGAGGTAGACTTTGGTGCAATGGTCAATGTGACCAGAAGAGGGAGGAATTGTGTCACTTTAATAAGTTACATAATGTGGTTCATTTGTTAAATATACTGTCTAAGAAACTGCTGAAACTGAAGGTTTCTGCATCTTAATTTCCAATCTACAATCTTGAAAATCATGAAAACCTCTGCAAATAAGAATCCTTTAGTTTTACAATGTTTAAATGACTGTACAAATAATATTTTCATGAACTACTTCTGTTCTTCCTTCAAATTTAATGTACTGTTATAGTTTCTGCACAATCAAATTAAGGAAGTTTCATTCTGGAATGCATTTCATTTGTTAAGTTTTGTTAAGTTATAAAACATATAGTTTTTTTTATTTTCATACCACTATTACCACTATTTCTTCTGACATCAGTAGTATTTCATTTTAAGTATTGGTGTCATCTGTCCTAACCCATGAATATGTTGTCCAACTGTCTGTGATCATTGTCATCATCAAACCTACCACTGTCAAAATCCACAAGAATTTTCTCCGGTTTACCACTCTATTGTCCCCATGTAAGGATGAAGCTTTCCATTCCTGAGGGAAAGTGCCACAAAACTAAGCCAATTCCCTGAATTCCACCATCAATACTAGGCTATCTTTCACTTTGACTGATCAGGCAATCCTAATAGTCCCTTCAAAGATGTCATCATCAGCATTCACAATTTTTATTCTCCTCAATCTAATCCAGTGAAGGATATAATGTGTTTCCTTTGCTTGCCTATCAAAAACTCTTTAGCCTACTCAACCTGTATGCAGCCTTTGACATGTTTAAGTGTGTCATCTTCCTCCAAAGCTTCTCTACTGTCGTAATCTGGTTGGGACTGCACTCACCTGGTCCCACTCTTCCCTTTACAGCTACAGCCAGGAAATCACCTGCAATGAGTTCTCTTCCTGCGACAGCACATTTATCTCTGGTGTTCTCCAAGGATTCAAACTCACCCCCCTCATATTTTACAGCTACCTGCTGCCTCTCGGTGACATTATATGAAAATGGAGTGACAGTTCCACATGCACACTAACCACACTCAGCTCTGACTCACCACCACCTCCCCCATACCTCTCCACTGTATCTAAACTGTCAGGCTATTTCATTCAGTACTGGATAAGTGGAAATTTGCTTCAGCCGAACACACAGAAGATTGTAGCTGTTCAGTTTTCAATAAAAAAAATCCATTCCTGAGTTACCTATTCCATCCCACTCCCTGGAAACTGTCTGTTGCAGAATAAGACTTCACAAAGTGATATCATACTTAACCCAAAATGAGTTTCCAATTACAAATCCATGCTATCACTAAAACCACCCATTTCTAGCACCGTAACAATGCTCAACCTTTTGCCATCTCTACTCATTTGTTGCTGAAAACCCTGTTGGCCTCTAGACTTGACTATTCCAATGCACTCCAGGCTGGTCTCCCACATTCTATCTTCCATGAATTTGAGATCTTTTAGGTTAACACTGTTCTTGTCCTAACTTGTGCCAAGTCACATTCATCCATCACTTTGAATGCTGAGTGGGTTTGTATAACTGCCAACATTACAATAACAACATGGAATTATTAGAATGCAGGTCTTTTCCTGACCAAATTTTATGGCCACAATAACATGCATTTGCATGGTACCTTTAATATACTAAAATCTTCCAAGATGCTTCACATGACCTTTCTACATTGATGATGAGACCTTATTTTCACATTGCTCCAGCCCTAAAATGATCAGATATCTGCACTCTTTTATTTCTACCCTCTTGAGCATTCTAGACATTAATTACTCTTCCTCTGGTTTCCATTCCCTTAGCTGTTTAGGCCCTAAGTTCTGGAATTCCTGCCTGTTCTAGTTCTCTCTTTACAAATTAAAAAAAACTCCTTAAAATCTACCTCTTTGACCAAATCGTATTAGCCCTTCATGCAGCTCAGTGTCAAACGTTGTTTGCTCTTTTTCAGAAAGTGACAGGATGTTGGCAGGGTTCCCGTGGATCCTAAGTGACTGCTGAGAACAATCTGTGCCCAGAGGATATTACTGAAAACTGAACAGGATACAGCAGATGATTGAATTTTGGACGAGTTGCTGGTTTGAGATTTCCTGTCCTCTGTTTCCTTTGACTGATTTGCTTTTGGTTTGGAAGGAGGCCACATGCCATTTTTACTTTTGTTTTGCTAGGTTCTGCGATCTTGGACATACTTCTTTCAGGGCTTGAACTTCTTATCAAAGTTCCTTAATGAAGTTTATATCACTGCATTGACTGTCATGAAAGCATATCCTAAACCCAAGCTCCATAAAGAAGAATTCACTTTGGCATCCACCTACATGACCAGCTAACTCAATTATGACCGTCTCAAAATGGTATGGATGCTTGGCATGCTCGTTTGAATGAGCACGTGACTATCTGGTATTTCACATTGCTATCTGATCTTCAGATGCTTCTGAATGCAGCTCATACGAAATTAGTTGAGCTTCTTGGTAAAATGCTGCTAAATTGCTCAAGTCTCATGGTTATATAGCAGACCGGGCAGGATGAATGCATTACAGACTCTCAGTCAGGGAGGCAGAGTTACTCATTTTCATTCCCAGGCTGATCTTTGAAGTCTGCCAAAGGCTACACTTGCTTTGCAAATCCTTACATTTGTCTTGTCATCCATATAGACAGCTCCTATGAAGCACCTTTGGAGATTTTTGTATATTAAAGTTGCCATGTAAATACAAATTGTTGTGGCGATAAAATTCTGTTGGGAAAAGACCTGCACTCTAACAATACCATGATGCTGATGTAATGTTGGTGGTTACATGAACCCGCTCAGCACTCATTGTTTTTCTTGACAACAGATCAAAAATATTTAGAATGTCGTTAGGCTGGAGAAGACTTGATTTTAAATATCTGACACCTCTCAGAGCTAGTTAGAGCATTTTCTGCATCCAGATTTTATCATGTCATTCATGGATGACAGCTATCTCTCACCTGTGACAAATCCTGTTAAAATGCTCATTGTCATGGTAACACACAGGGCTGTTTGCCAGTAGTCAGTATGTGACGTCTTAACTCTGAAAGCAGAAAAATACACAGAGTTTAAAATTGTGCTGGAAAGAAACCTGCAGCTGCACTTTTTGCAAGTCTACCCACCATCGAGAGAAATTAGTCATTCAGGCACACAATATTAAAATGAAAAGTTGTGTGGCATATATCTGTACTTTCAATTTGGGCTGAACTAGCGGACTCGGAAAATTACATCCTTATTTAGAAGTCACAAATCTTGGAAATCACAATAAACTAGTTAGAATATGGTTAGCTCTAGGATAAATACAGAATGTGTTTTGCTAATAAATAAGTGACATGACTTCTGGAGAATAGGAACCTCTTCAACTCTACTCCTAGAGTCAGTGTAAACAAGATCCCTAGAATTCTACAGCACTTTAAAGTCAATTTCTGCTATAAAATCTATCAGGTTCTGCAGAACAGAATAGAATGAGAGAGTCTTAGAACATTTAAGAGGTCTTTTGACACATGGTGCCTGTACTGATTCTTTGAAAGAACTCTCCAATTTAATCGATTCAACAAAGGAATCTAGATTTTGTGACACATTGCCAAGTGAACTAAGTATAGCTATGACTTAAGGATGATGCAGCAGGTAAGATTTATGGTCTCAGCTCTCTTGAACTTTAAACATATGGTCTGTGATGAGAAGGAGATGATACAGAAAGCAGCAGTGGAGCAAGATTGAATGCAAAGACTGCAGACAGGAACTAACTTGCTAATCAATCTGTAGTCAATCAGCTGCCCGTCACCAGCCAGACAAGCCACAGGCAATCAATCAAATTGTAGTAAAATGCTCTCCCTGCAATGACTACAGTCAGCATCTGCATGATGCACTCAGCAAAGATTACTGCCCAAACCCCACCCATGGCTTTTCCATCCAATTTTAGAAGACAAATGCTCCAAGCTGTACCACCTTAGCCCATAATTGTGGCAGAGGTCTTTCCCACAGCCATGAATTGGCCTATTCTAATGACCACTCCATCTGATTGCTGCTGTGTTGGCCCAAGCCTGATTGACAGTAGCTGATCTCCTTCTAACTGAAGATCTGGATCAAAAACAAAAGAATACTACCAACAAATATGGGTGAGCTGGGAATGAAACAGAAATGCCAGCAATGACCGATATGAATTGATGGAACTCAAATAAAACCTCTTTCTGATTCCACGCTGAGGTGAAATTCTAAGGTGGTTTCCACTGCTATTAAATCTTGGAGAATTGGTCCTCATGCTCAGGAATGTCTTGGACCTTATACATAGTGAAGCTCTCTTTACTCTGCCAGAGCATTTGTGATCCATGTTTCAAGAAAGGAGCTTTGTGAACCTTTTTTTTTCTTTTCCACATGCACAGAAACAAATTTATATAAATAAATTGGTATAGAGAATCCAACTGCACTTTACAATCAAATGTTTGTTTAGTGATTTGTAAGCCAATATTTCCTGCAACTGAGACTATTGCCTTCCACATCTCCAAACACAACTGTGTATTTGAAGGAGTAGATACCTGGCACCCGGCTTAGCACTTACTAACTCACCCAACATGGCTTGTTCAGAGTGAGGTAAATTAACATTGCTCTCTTATCTTTCTGTAAACCTATTATTTTCTGTGAGGGAAGTAATCCAAAGTTACAGAATCACATGTGAAATGGGTCAGTTATGGAGATCAGATTGAGATTAATTGCAAATGAAATAACTCAGTAAAATTACGCTAAAAACTAACTCAAAGACCAACGTGATTACTTGTTCAGTCTAAAAGCAATTTTATGACAATCTGTTTCAATTGAAAGTGTATAATTCTGACACAGATGCTGAAAGCAGAAATGTTCAATTCTTCAACATAACCTTACAGGAATGGGAATTGAGCTAGGAAAAGAAACTGAAGATTTCTCTACTTGAAGGAAACTAGACTAAAAATAAATTTGGAAAAGAAGTAAAATGAGAGAACAAAACAGAATTTGTTAAAAATGCAAATGAAATGTTTCTTATAAAGCAACATGAATCATACTGGTGTAAAAGATAGGTCATGTATAAGGAGTTCAAGCAGATTTAATGTAATAAATTCATTAAAATGTTGAATAAATTCAGTTGTGAATGAATGCATCATGCATTGAAATGTTGATGTAGCAAAATGTTTCAGGTTGTTATTTTAGCATTACCTTTGAAAACATACCTTTGCAAATCCTCACTCACAGAGGGCACTGAAAGTAGAACAATGTACACTATGCCTCCTATGATTCCAGGTAAGCCGTGGGTGTATAAAATGCCAGAAGTATCATGCAGTTTCAAATATAATTCCAATCTGCCCTATAAAAGATGTTAAAATGTTAGACATTGTCTACATATGTACGCAAACTAGCAAAGACAGCAGCAATACTTTAGAGTAATTTATCAAAAATGAAACCTGACACATGCAATAATGGAACCTTGATGGTGTGAGTAGGATGAGTTTGACAGTGAAAGCATTTAAAAAATATATATTTTTAGATGTTTCCACCGCGCTCTCTTCAAAGTATTGTTTTTGCAGATGTACAGTTTTACATATGCCTGCAACCCTCTGGTACCTGACCCAACTGCCCATTCTACACATGTAAGCTTCGACAGTGAGTATTAGCAGGTAGCTCAACTTTGGATGTGTGCCAGGGCTGAACATATGCCTACTCTCCACACTTGTACACTCTCCAGTCCAAGTGACTGAACAGCAATCAACAGTAGGAGTGTTGTCAACTGATTTCTTTCTCTTTGCTTAGTACAGCAGCTCAGTTATGATGAGCCAAATCGACATAAACCAGAGATCAAAACCAGGTCCTGCAGTCTGCATGGATGAATGCATTCTTACATTGACATATGTTTATGCATTTGGCTTGCTTAGCTAGAGAGCTTCTTAAGCAGACTTTCTCCAAACTGTTCTGATAACCATCTGTGTATTAACAGTACCTTCCAGAAAATCCAGTAAGTTGCTTACAAACATCAGAAAGATGTACTCTTGAAGTTAGTCAATATAAGATCAGCCATGTTACCAGAATGGGAATTAAGGAACTAGAGTAGGCCATTCAGCCCTGTAAGACAATTCTATCATTTAGAGAAATTATGGTGACTGAATACAATGGCTCTATACTCTAATACTTTTAACTAATAGAAATTTATTATTCTCAGTTTTTGAGTTAACAATTTTTCTTTCAGCAAATTCCATTTGCATAGGAGAGTTCTAAATGTCTACCCCTTTCCCATTCAGGTTCCTAATTTCATACCTGAAAGGTCTGGCTGTAATTTTTTGACTTTGCCCACCTTTTCAGTCTTAGACTGTGTGGGAATAGTTTCTCCAAATCTACCCTGTCTGTTACCCTTAGCATCTTGAATGCTCAATTAACTCACCCTTTAGGCTTCTTCATTTCAGAGAATACAAGTTCGCTGACAACACCACTGTAGTACAATAGATACCTAACAACGACAAGTCAAAATACAGAAGAGAGATAGAGGCCTTGGTGACGCGGTGCAATGAGAACAACCTCTCTCTCAATGTGAACAAAACTAAAGAACTGATCATTTGACTTCAGAAAGAAAGGAGAAGAACATGCCCCCATCTAAATCAACAGAACTGAGGTTGAGAGGGTGGAGAGTGTCAAGTTCCTCGGAGTGACGATAACTGACAACCTGTCCTGGACTTTCTACACAGATGCAATGGTCAAGAAGGCACAACACTCCTTTTCTTCCTCAGGCGGCTCAGGAAATTTGGCATGTCCATAAGGTCCCTTATCAACTTCTACAGGTGCACCATTGAAAGCATACTGTCTGAGTGCATAACAGGCTGGTATGGCAACTGCCAGGACCGCAAGAAACTACAGAAGGTGGTGTGCACAGCCCAGACCATCATGGAAGCCAACCTTCCATCCATGGTCTGCGTTAACATGGCTTGCTGCCACGGAAAGGCTGCCAATATCATCAAAGACCCACCGCACCCTGGTAATGATCTCCTACAACCCTTTCCGTCAGGCAGGAGAGACAGAAGCATGAGAATACAAGGTGTAGAGCTGGATGAACACAGCAGGCCAAGCAGCATCAGAGGAGCAGGAAGGCTGACGTTTCAGGCCTAGACCCGACAGAAGCCTAGCAAGTTCAGGAACAGCTTCTTCCCAGCTGTTATTAGACTGATGAATGGACTCACTAGCCTCAAATAATGCTCATCTTGCTAATGTTGATCTCACCTAGCACACACCCTGTGCAATATAACCTGTATGCCTCTACATCTTTTTGATCTGTACATCTTTGCTTATTATGATCTGCCTGTACCACTCATAAACAAAGCTTTTCACTGTACTTCGGTACAGGTGACAATAAATCAATGAATGAATGAATCAATCAATACATCCCTAGTTTGTTTAATCTCTCCATGTAGATTGACTGGGGGCCCAGTTATTTTCTAGTAAATTTATGTCCCACTCCCTCCGAGGCCAATATACTCTTTTTAAGATGAGGTGGCCACAACTGCTCACAGCATTACTGTTGTGAGACTTGAGGTTCATTTAACAACCTGCAAAAATGATTGGATTCAAAGGCTGGATTTCACAGGCTTTGCACAGCGAACTGCTGGTCTTAACTGCGAATTACAACCACTCCTGCAAGCTCAATTTTCTCTCTTGACATTTGAATTTCAAAGATAAAAGGACATTAAATGACAACAGAATAGAAAAAGGAGCTATATAAACATTTTATTTATGATTTTGTTCCAGTATTACCTTTAGGTATTTCATCCCCAGTGTAGAGATACCACCAGCAATGAAGCCGATTATCATTGCAATATAAGCAGATGGTATCAAAGGAGCAGAAAGCCCGACAGCAACTCCTCCTGCCAACATAGCATTGCGGATATGTGACTGTAGGAACACGATTAAAAGATTTGAGTAATACTCCAATTATTTCCAAACAATTATTTTAAACACAAAACGTAGAAAGATAAAATTCTGTTCCTAAGTTTGTTTTTCAAATTTTCATGACATGGGTTTGGACATATTATTTAAAATTATGTTCTAAAACGACAGAGGTTGCTCACTATTTATTTTTAAGAACCGCAATCTGTGGCGACAAAATCGCTTGAGGATCAGTCTCCCTTGTCTCTCATAAACTAGCGTCATGTGCTTAATTTGTCAGAGTTTTTCTCCTTTTTCACCTTTTTCATCAACTCTTGCCTTTTTCTGTAACATCCTAAAAGCTGAAAGACCCAAAATTCAGGCCCACTGATACAACCTGTAAATTTGTGAAGGGTCATGGGTGAAGGGGAGGTGCACCGCTAATAATAATATTCTAGCATATTTCTCTAATATCACAGATTGTGTCTACCAAAAAAAGTTGGTGAAAAAAGGCACATTTTGTCAAAGACTTTTGTCTTGTGCACATTAGGACAGTTCACAAGAATATAAATTGAAGGGGAAGATCTTAATTTGATATTTTTATGAATTGTCTGGATGAGTGGCAGATAAATATCTTTGACGAAATGTCTCTGTTTTCAACAATACTCAAGTTCTGTACTACCAAAAGACTATTAACCAAAATGCCATAAATTATAAGCATCTTTCCAGATGGTAGATAAAAAAAATTGATCGTTAAAGAAAAACTCTTTGCAATCAGTGATATGTAAATTGTCTATTGGAAAGAAAGAGGGTCCACAGAAATATACGGATAAGTCACAAAGGTACATACAAATGGAACACACAGCACTGAGAAAAGTCAGAATCTGAAAGAGTAACATGGAGAGAAAACTGGAAATCGAGTCATAATGAAGAGCAAAAGTGAGAAAAAGATGAAAATAAAACTTCAGTTTGCAAGAGATAAAGCAAGACTTCAAAGAACAGGAATTCACATGAATGGGCCAGAAATTCCATCATGCAGTGCACTCCAAGCTGATCTGTTTTGCCGTAATCTCATCCCAAATCCTGAATGAGGGATATTTCTGTTTAGGCCAGGAATATAAGTATTGTCCAGGCAAATAATTTTATTCTTTTGTTCCTTCTCCCTTTTTTGGGATAAAAATTTCACCTACACTGAATGGATTCATTTTATTTGAAGGTGCAATTTATATTAAAATGATATGAAATTATCATTAGTTGGAAAGCTGGTATAGATAGTTTCTGTCATGTTCACCAGATCTCTGCTTATGCAACGTTCAATTTCCACACCAAAAATGATTGGATGTACTCGGCTCAGAAATTTTAATTTTCCTCAAAACTTTTCTCTTGCTCGCAGAAGACATTGGCTCCTTCCTGGCACATAATTCGAAAGACATAAGATGTCCTCTGGTACCTCGTGAAATTGCCATCTATATGTGTGAGCTTATATACACAAGTGTGAGCAAGCTGCTTAAATACAGGACACATTCTGCATCTTGTCCCCGCACAGATTCCTGGCTTCCAGTGGATGATGTCAGATAGCAATCAGGAGAAGGCACTTTGGTCAATTTATGCAGAGACATCAGAAACAATAGAACCAATTAGTACTGCCCTGGCAACTAACCCAATGCAGTGAGAGTCAAAGGTGTGGCCATACATATGACCTGGGTGACTCAGCCTGTCATTATCTGAACCTCCTCTGTATTGGTGAATGCTTTTATTTTCATGCAGTCAACTTAGTGCAATTCAGTACTCAAGTCTGACTTACAATAGAGTGCTAGGGTTAAGTGGTTAAGGAGGGTAAGAGGAGGAAGGGAAAGAGGTGTTCAGTTGCTTTTGCTTTTCCCAGTATATTTTTCAGCCCCAGGAATTGATTTTAGTCTGCCACAATTGAAGAAGCTGGTTAATTATTGAGTATCTGATAAGTGACTATGATCTTTTATATTCCTAAAGTTCAACACAAGATAGAAACTGGTGACAAGGTGAATAAAGTATATAAAAATATAACTGAACATAAAATTGAATAAAACAATTAAATAGCTCCTTTGAACACATTAAAGGTGGTAAGACAAATTGTGCATCAGAATTACAGCATGTAGAAGTATCCAGCTGCCAGTTTTGACTGAAGCAAACATACCTGTGGTAACAATATGAAATTCGACAAACTCCAGCTCAGGGCTTATGAGCTAGAGGCCGAACTGTAGACACTATTGTGGGGAATAGGGAAAGATACCTGGATTCTTTGTACCAGGTGGCAGTCATACCAATTAACATAGGATTGTCTCATTGTGTCAATGTTCGGGGTTAGGAGAGTATGACTGCACATGAGACAGGTAAGGGGACCCAAAGAGGAGGAGCACAAGAGAGTCAGCTTTTGTAATTCATAGAAAATCTACAGTGTGGAAACAGGTCCTTCAGCCCAACAAATCTACATCAACCCTCAGAGCATCCCATCCAGACCCATCACCCTATAACCCACCTAATCTACACACCCCTGAACACTATGGGCAACTTAGCATGGCCAATCCACTTAGCCTGCACATCTTTGGACTGTGGGGGTGGGGGGAAACCGGAGCACCCGGAGGAAACCCACGCAGACACAGGGAGAACATGCAAACTCCACACAGACAGTCGCCTGAGGGCGGAATCGAACCCGTGTTCCTTGCGCTGAGAGGCAGCAGTGCTAACCACTGAGCCACTGTGCGGCCCCAAATTTGTCCAACATGTTTGAGGTTCTCCCATCTTGTCTGGATTAAAGTGAAGCTTGTAGGCTGGATGAGCTAACTGACCACAGATGTGGTACAGGAAGCCTTTAAAGAGGGGGAAATGAGAAGGAATGTAATGGTAATAGGTGACAGTACTGTGAGGGGATTGATACTGTTCTTTGTAGCAAAGAGTGAGTCCAGATGGCTGTGTTGGCTGCTCAGTGCTAGGCTTTGGGATATCTACTCAAAGCTGGAAAGCACCCTGAAGTAGAAGGAGGAAGATCCCACCATCATGGTCCACACCGGTATCAACACTATTGGTCTGACAAAAAATGAAGTTCTGTATTGTCAGAATGATGAGCCAAGCACCAAATAATGAAGGAAAGGTCATAATCTCTGCATTATTACCTGAGCCACATGCAAATTGGCATTGGGCAAGTAGGCTTAGAGAGATGTGTGTGGCTCAAAGATTATGGGAGAAGTGGGTTCTGGTTTGACACTCAGTAATGTCACATCTGTACTGATGGAATGATTTCTATCTGATCTGTGTCAGGGATGGTGTCATTGTCAACTACATAACTAGGGAAATTGAAAAGTTTTATACTAACGAGTGGGGAGAGGAATCAAATTGGGGAAGTTGTTGAAATTGAAAACAGAGACAAGATAAAAGGGAAAGAGATTAATACAGGAAATGATTAAACAGAATATGACAGAATAGGATAATGAGTACTAGTCCAGGAGTCAACCAGCAGATACAATATACAAAGAGAATGAAAGGATAAAGCTAAAGTATCTGTTTCTGAAAAAAAAATAGAACTAAGAAAATAAATAGAAGGGGTAAAGTGAGTAAACAATAATGTGGCAAATGGAGCACAATGTGTGAAATTGTCCATTTTGCCAGGAATAATAACAAAGGAACATAATCTCTTAAGAGTGAGAGATTGCAGAGTTTTGAGATGTAGAGGGTTCTGAGTATTCTCATGCATGAATCACACAAGATTAGGACACAGGTACTGCAAGTAATTGGGAAAGCTATTAGATTGTGATAATTTACCATGAGGGGGATTGAATGTAAAAGTAGGTAGGTTATGCTTCAATTTTACAGGTCATTGGTGAGACCGCATCATGAGTACTGAATGCTGTATTGGTCATGTTATTGAAGGAAAGATTTGAATGCATTAGAAACAGTTTACCAGACTTATATCTAGAATGGGCTGGTCATCTATTGAGGAAAGACTTGAATCCACTAGAGTTCAGAAGAGTGAGAGAAGACTTGATTATGACATTAAATCCTGAGTGGTCCTGACAGGGGGCATAGAGAGTTTGTTCTCTCAGCTGGGAGAATCTATAACTAGGAATCACTGTTAAATATTAAGGGATAATGTGATTCTTTTACTCACATAGAGGATTATGGATCTTTGGAACTCACTTCCTCAAAATATGATGGAAGTAGATTCCTTGAATACTTGCAAAGCAGAGGTAGATGAATTTTGGAACAAAAGCAAAATTGCTGCAAAAGCTCAGCAGGTCTGGCAGCATCTGTGGAGGAGAAAACAGAGTTAATGTTTCGGGTCTGGGCACCGGGCCCGAAATGTTAACTCTGTTTTCTCCTCCACAGATGCTGCCAGATCTGCTGAGCTTTTCCAGCAACTTTGTTTTTGTTCCTGATTTACAGCATCCGCAGTTCTTTTGGTTTTTATTTAGTAGATGAATTCTTGTTAAGCAAGGGAGTGATAAGTATCAGGGATAGACAGGAATGTGGATTTGTCATTACAATCAGATCAGCCATCATTCTTATTGAAGGGGTTACACTTGCTTGTCATTCATATGTTTGTAGGTAACTAGGAAAAAAGAACTTCTTATATTAAACTGAGGTACTTGAAATTGTGAGTTCTATAAAGATTTTGTGACACTATCTCTACGCTCCATTCAGGAGCAACTGAAACTGACGGAATGCTCAATTTGGTCTTGTAATTTGTTGCAAAGTCTCCATATGAAACAAGTTATATTGAATTTACAGAAAAAATACTGGCTAACACTGGAGATTTGAATGAAATGCAGAATCTGAAGAGCTAACTCTAGCGAATATTTCTGCCACAGAACTAGATATTGTTCATTCTTTAATAAAGCAAATAACTGCAGATGCTGATGATCTGAAACAAAAATGGAAATAGCTGTAGAAACTCATCAGGTCTGGCACCTTCTATGGGGAGAAAGCAGAGTTAACATTTCAAGTTCAGTGATCCTTCATCAGAAGTGTTCTTGTTTGTTATTGACAATTCTTTATCTTTCAGCTTGTCTCGGATCATTTATTCCTGCATAATATGTTTTTGTTTCCAAGAATTGTGTAGAAAACAACTCCTATTAATT